TTATTATTATGGAAGTTTAAACAGGAATTTCTGTTTAGCAGATGAAGTTTACGGTATTGGGTTTGTTCATCAGTTTATTATTTCTCCAGCAAAACTGTTAACGACAGTTTATATGCTAATTGTGTCATTGCCTAATTTCTTTCTTTTGATTAGGCAGAGGATATTTTTTTTTTTTTTTTGTTTTCGGATTTTCTATTTTTTTGTACATAATGGAAATGTTGAGTATATGTACATAAACATAAATCCATATTTCTTTTGTGGTCAATCTATTATGACTGTCTTTTTTTCAACAGATTTATATTGATAGATTTTTACGCAACATCTTTGATGTTTATTTCCTATGCATTTTTGTGTTTCCACCGGAAAGCTTTTTTTCTTCGTTTCATTTGTTTGTTTGTTTGTTTTTTGTTTTGTTTTTCTTTTGTTTGTTCTTTTATTATTATTTCATTATTTAAATTTCATAATGAGGCTGTTTAGTGGGGGGAAAAAAGAACAGAAAAAGTGGGTTAAAGAGTGATGAAGAAGAATGGAAAATTGGTAAGAACTGGGAAGAATTGTTAGTATTGTTAGGTTTTCGTTCTTTTTTATCCTTAATAGCATAAAAACTGCAGGTGAAAGAGTATTTTTTCAGTGAAGCCTTTTCCATTTTTTTTCTATGGTTGTTGTCTTTGTGAAATACTCGTTTATTTTTTATAATGATTGTACATTATGTCGAGCTAAAAGAGGAAAAAAAAAGAGGAAAAAATTGAAACATTGAAATATATGTTGTGCAATTTTGTGGAAAATAAATGAGGTAATGTTGATTGACGTTTTTTTACAACACAGACACACTCACATAGATACATCAAAAAAAAAAAAGCAATTTGTTGAAAATGTTTTGGCGTAAACCTGTTGAGCAACACTGTTGCAAGCAAGCAAGTATTGGCTAAAAGAAACTTTGATGAATACAATATTGATATCTACGCGGCTTGATGACATCCTAAAGCACTACTAATACAAGTCCTAAGCGCAATATCTGTGTTATAACTGCAGAATTAAGCATTAAGCGATAGTGGAGTTGGTTACAGGAAAAAACGTTAGATTTATTGTAAAACTAAGTTTGGAATTTGAAAAAAAAAAAAAAA